TTTTACTGAAGGGCCCAAAAACTGAACACAGTACTCTACTGAGGTGCAGCCTCACCAGTGCTGAGTGAGCACAGGGGCACGATCACTTCCACAGACCTCCTGGCTACACCGTTTCCGATACAGGCCAGGATGACATTGGTATTGGCCTTCTTGGCCACCTGGGCACACTGCTGGCTCATGTTCAGCCAGATGTTGATCAGTACCCCCAGGTCCCTTTTCACCAGGCAGCTTTCCAGCCACTCCTCCCCAAGCCTGTAGCGTTGTCTGGGGTTGTTGTGACCCAGGTGCAGGACCTGGCACTTGGCCTAGTTGAAGCTCTTACAATTGGCCCCAGTCCATCGATTCAGCCTGTCTAGGTCCTGACTCTCTAAAGCCTTTCTTCCCTCAAGGAGGAGGTCAAGACCCCTGCCCAATTTAGAGTGCACCCTCAGTAAGTCTGCAGCTGACACCACCTTCTCCTCAAGATGTTGATAAAGATATTAAAAGAAGTGGCCCCAACACTGAGCCCTGGGGAACACTTGTGACTGGCCACCAACAGAATGTTACTCCATTCACCACCACTGTGGTGGTGCCCTGGCTGTCCATCCAGTGTTTTACCCAGAAGAGTGTACACCTGTCTAAGCCATGAGCAGTAAGTTTTTTCATCAGAATGCTGTGAGAAACTGTGTCAAAGAACATTAATTTTTGCTCTTTTCCTGCTCATTACCTTAACTGGTTTTATTACCAAAACAGTTGAATATCAGCCAGGAGAGTTTTGAGACTCTCATCTTTTAGACCTCTCCTGAAATCAAGAGTTATAATTACAATACAGATTAGCTGAGTGCTACCACTCTCAGCAAAGAACACTGCCCATTTGAGACACATTCACAGGAAGGCATGTTCAGCCTCTGCTGCAGTGCTAAGCTTGCAAAAATCAGAAAAACAATCTCTACCTAAGTTAGGAATCTCAGCCTAACCTGAAATTTGGGTACAAGAAAAAAAAAAATAAATAAAAATCATCAGTCTATGGCTCTCTCACCTTGACAACTTTGAAATCCTAACCTCAGCAGCTGTCATTGTCACCTGTAAAGGTCACCAGATACCAAATTCAGTATGGAGCTTGCTAGCTGTCATTGTTGGATACTCCGCTTCCTCATGCAAAAATGAGATTGCCCTCATGTTCGTTCCCTCGGGTTTACTAGGTCCTTATGGATAAGTATGTCTGTGCTGGTAAATGCTTTACCACCCATCCATCAGCACTTCTGCATGGTTAATGTGACTGTCACACAACAGCTTTCCTCCAAGGAAAGATTAAGGACCACAGTAGGCTAGATTTTGCCCACACAGAACATGAAGCATAGCACTTATTTATCCTCCCAGCACATGCCATTCCCAGGACTATCGTCAAAGCTGATGTGCTGCTATTCCACAAGGTAGTTTCCACCAATGGAAGACTTGACCAATATCCTTTAGTCGTACAAGCATTTCTGGCAAAGATCAGTTTGGGAAAGAAAGCTGCTAGAGACAGTCTATATATGTGTACAGATATATATGCTGGTACAGACAAAATTTATAAGAAAAGAGACAAATCCTTGCTTTTTCAACCAGAAAACAACATTTTTGAGGCGGTTCCTATCACCATTACCTGGGGCTAAAGACACAGTGGGGGTGGAGATGTTTAAGTTAAATAGCTAAAGAATATAACAGTATTTCAGACATGTTGACTCTAACAAACAGTACTCTGCAGTTGTAAGAGGAACACTAGGACTAGAATACAGCTCACGTGTCTATTCCCTCTCTGCACTTCAAAAACAGCTTGTAAAAGCTTCAGTCTTTGTGTGAAATGTATTGCCTTTCTCATCCTCATTCCTTCTTGTTAATGGATTCTGGACACAAAGTTTTGCTTCTTAATCAGTGTTTTGGGGTTGTTTTTAAGTTACAGAAAAGTACTTTGCAATATGAATTGGGGGATATTGGAAACCTCCATTTTTAATCCTCTGAAGACATGTATTTTATATTGTACCGTTTTCTCTCACTCTCTAAAGTGCATAATTAGAGCAAGCTACAAAATACTGTTGTACTTAAGCTAAACCCCTGCCATTATTAACTGCACAGAAAGTTAAGGAATTCACCAAAAGAAGTAGTATTCCCTCCCTCCCAGCACATCATGTACAAAGTGGCAAGGATAAGGAAAAACACCATAGAGCACGCAATTCCCCCAAAGAGGAATTAGAAGTTCCTATTTATCTTGCATTTAAGGACAGAAACCAAGAAGCTGGGTACAGAAGGACCTGTCACCCCATAATAGGTACCGCTTATTAAGGAAGGATATGACTGTGTACTGTACATCCTGCTGGCACACTAAAGCTTTGCTACTATATTTGGCTCGGGAACAACTACAGCGTTCCTTAATATTTAAAAAATTGAGTGTACTGTAATACATATTTATATATTTGAACAGAAAATTCTCTATTTTATTACTTCTAGCCCACTAAGTGGGCTAGCTCCTAATTGAACTTCACAGGAAAAAAAAAAAAATTCAGCTTCTTGGAACAAAGCATGTTCCCAAATACACACATTTCCCCATGTAGATATAAATTTATTCTAAGTTCAGACTTCATTGCACACCTTAACAAAGCAGCAGCTGGCAACCTTTGAGTGTGGAAATACTATTTTAGGAGTGCTGTGATAATATACTTGAGCTCCCACTTCCAATATGCTTAGGGACACTGTTCTAAATATACACTGATGCTAAATGCAGGTATTCAATAAAGATATAGACCCTAACACTAATCCAAGGAGAAAAATGGTGACTTAACGAGCACTTTTAAAAAGTGTTATCTGTGTATGCTCCATTGCAGGAGCCCATGCTCTAATATAGATTCTTCATAGTCATTTCTGCTCAAGAATTCAAGGACATACTGGTGAGATTATGTTTTTCAGGTTCCTTCTTCAGCAGGTATTTTCCCCATAGTATATATAAAAGAGGGATAGTTAACAGAATTCACATGCTTACCTTCAGATAAACAACCACTTCTTATTCTGAATACTTGCTTACAAATACACACTTGACTTCATTACACATAGTAGCAATATATAGGTCTCAGGTGCTGGATTATACCTAAAGTCTCAGAAGGAATGCAGCTCATCCCTCTAAGGAAGGAACTCCCTCCAAACCACTTAGCTGCCCTTCATGTTTAACAGAAAAACATGTTTAAAGCTACAGGTGCTGCTTGAGGTTCTTTCCATGAAGGGTAGATCTAAAATGGTTGTTTCATGATATAATTGAAAAAATACAAGAACCCATTTTGTATTGTCAGCCTGGAGACAGTTTCTATCTCCTACTTCTAACATGCCAATAATTTGGCTAGGGAAGTGTCAAACATGCAAGATTATCCCTGCACCTTTTGTGCTTTGCTGCTGCTTTGTTGGAATACAGATGTAAAAGACTATGCCGTCTTGTCTCAATCTTTGCTTAAAAAAGAATTTAACACAGTTCATCTCCACGAAGAAAAAGAACAACCCACTAGACATTCTTATGTGCTTGTCCCTGCTCCCATAGCTGTCCTTAATAGAAAAAGAAAACAATGTCAAAACGAATATATCAGGAAAAAATATTGTCTGAAAAGGTAGGCCTATCAGTCCATCAGCTGTTAATATTCTCAACAAAAACATACTCTGTATGTAATGAAAAGTATCAACCAACCTTCAATTAAAAGGCAGAGTTGATGGTTCTCTTCAGACATCCAGTATGAAGTCTATGATGTCACTTACCAGCACTGAAAAAACTTGCCAAGAGAAGCTGCATCAAAAAATTACACTGGAGTAACTGGATTGGAAAGATTAGTGCTTACAATTCTTCTGGCAGGTAAAGAAGTAACAAGATGTTTCAGTTACCTAAACATGAAAGAATGCTTAGGTAGAGACTCATCACTACAAGATAAATTCAAGTACTACTTCAAAACAAAGGAGTAACTAGAGAAAAGGTGAGGGGGAAGCTTTTATAAGAGATACAGAGCCTACCAATGGGGGAGAACAGTGGGAAACTCACTCTAGGTTTTTGGAGAAAACTGAAAACATTTGCAGTAATAAAATTTAATAGCATTGGGTAACAAAAAAAAAAACAAAAAACAAACTTTTCAAAATTCTTCTTAGACTACAACTGCTTTTGTTTCATGAAAAGTACTTGGAACACTCAACACTATATAAGAAACCCTGACAATCAGTTGAATATACAACAACCAGATGAAAAAACTGAAGCATCTGCATTAAAACAAAGTACTGACATGTGATCTTGATTAGCATTTTGAATTTGTTGCTCAAATATACACCAAGCTTTGTTTAAAGGTGTGCTGCTACAAGCCTTGTTTGTTTTCCTCGCCTTGAAGCTGCAAAACAAATGACCTTTAATACTGCATGGAAAACCATTTTATCTAATGCTTTTCAATCCTTCTTTTCCATTACATTTTAGCCTTGAGCTTGCAAAGGGACCAAACAGCAAACGACCCCACAGAATTATCGTGCTGTTCCCACCTCTGGGTGCAGTACAAACAAAGGTTGTGGAAACAAGAAAAATTACATATGTTGTTCCTTCAGACATCACAGGTTTGTTTGTTTTCGTTTGGGTTTTTGGGTTGTTTTTTTTTTTAATTTAAGAAGGAGATACACACCCAGTTCAATATATTTAATATCAGGTAAGTCAGGAGATAAATGCTTTGCTTTCAGAAATAAAAATTTTAATAAACATTTACATACAAACCAAAAATCTCCAGAAGCAATTTTAAAATCAACTTCTTTCTGTGGTATCCTTTTAACAGAAAAGAGAGGAACTCCTTGCCTACAGTGGAGGCTCATAGTCAGCATTGTTCTACCACAGCATCAGCCACCAATGTCTGCAAAAGCTGTACAAAGAACTGAATGTTCCCACAGATTCCAGAGGATTACAAGAACAAGTTCTATCACATACATCATTCTCTTGCTTTTAAACCTCCTGCACATAACTTCTTTCAGACTTCACTTACGAAGAGAAGACATGCTCAGTTCAACAGCAATCAGTCTCGCCTCCAGAGCCTTCAACACAGTGTCTGCCTGTAAAGTAAACAGGGAAAGACAATCAGTTATAAACACAGCTCAATACAAAGAGCAACTGTAAATCTCAGTGCTCAAATTTGATCTTGCATCACCAATCCTGTTTGACTCTACTCCTGCTACTTTCACAGTTTGAGAGTTCACTTAATATTAATCCTCCATGCTTGCCTAAATCCACAATTGTCCCCAACCTTAGTGAGTGTCAGACCCAGAGATTTGGCTTTTGCTAGACAACCATCAGCTTTCAGAGCCAATTTTGTTCCCCTATTCGCTCCCAGCTCTCTCTACCTGCAATCAGAAGTTTTCAGTAGAGCAAAATGTCAACTTTATTTATAATGTAACATTTCAATATCAAGTTAGAGCAAAAGCATTAAGTCAGTTTGCATGAGAGACAAAAGAGACATAACTAAAACAAATTAAGCAAAAATCTGGAGAAGAAACAGAAGTAAACAAGCAATGCTAGTGTCCTGGTTTAGGGACCAGAGAACCAATTCTGTTCAGTGATTTTGCTTTCCAGCTAAGTCTCTCCTAACTAACTGCCCTGCCTGCAGTTAGCAGCACGTTTTCGCAGTCAGAGTCTGCCTCTAGCAGTGGTAACGCTCCATCTTTAGAGTGACCACCAAGGATTGGTGTGCAGACCAAGGTCACTGCCAAATCCTGTGCACCACACAGAGGGGGCAGAAAGCAAAGGCTACACCTGCAGGGAGGAGCAGACAGAACAGGTGACCCTAAACTGATGAATGGGGTACTCCTTCCCATATCCCTCATATTCAGTATAAAGCTGAAGGATCTCAAGGGTCAAGTTCTCCTTTTTGCTGCTTTTTCAATGCTGGCATGCAAGGAGGACTCCATCCATTGTGCCTTTGATCCCGAGCTGATTTTCAGTAACTTTTCCTGCAGTTTTAATTTTAACCAGAAAACAGCTTTAATGAAAACTACAACAACAATAATAATAATGATATGGAATATATATAAATATATTGGGTTCCAGAATCCAGCTCCTGTACCCAGTCGCCATCTGTGGCCGAGTCCAGCCTGGGACTTCTCCCCAGGGGCTACTCCCAAGCTGGGGGTGACAGTGACGTACTGCCACCCAGGGGGAGGTGGGTTCCATACTGGTTTTGTATATATTCCATATCATTATTATTATTATTATTGTTTTCATTAGAGCTGTTTTCTTTTCTAATCAAAAAGTCTCTCTCCCTTATTCCCTTTCTCTTCCCCTTTGACAGGGGGAGAGTGATTAACAGAGAATGTCTGTTACAGGTCTTGGGGGCAGCTCTGACCCTACACCATGACAGCTAGTTATCATTAAAGTTGCAGGAAAAGTTACTGAAAATCTTGCATAACACAAGATACCAACAGTATGAAGTATCACAGCATATGTTAAAACCCAAAGAACCGGTCTGGATGAAGTAAGCTATTTTTAAGAAACTACTTAAGGATATTAAGATTCCATAGAGGTGATTTAAACAAGGAACGATATAAGATTAAATCATACCCTTTGTAGCACCTCTTCAAAGGCAGCTCGATTTTCAAGAGTTAAAGGTTCCTCGTCAGTAAGAGCTTCCTTTTCTGAGGATCCTAGAATGTAACTGATACACCATAGTTTAGATCGTGCACTTTTCATTCTGATGGCAAAATGCAGGACTCATGAATGAAGGACAAATGTAGGACCCATCCATTGTTCTCAGAGTTTATAATTAATTAATACACTAGCAAAGTAGAAGCACAATTCCAGCAACAACAAAGCCGTGCATATTTGGTAATCCTGTAAACAAACTGTATGGTGGAACGAAAACAGTTTTAAGCACAGAACTACCAAGACAACACTGCTTAATGAAAGTTAGAACCCCAAGAAACAGTAATGAATTACAGTGCTACAGGATACAGTGAGAAATTATGCAGACACTGAAAATAACATAGGGCTATCTGGAAGAATGAGCCATCACCACCACTGCCCAAGAAAATGCTATTCTGTGACTATGATGGTTTTCAGAGAATTTACTGCCATGGAAAAGCACGATACCATAGCTGTGGAAACAGAAAAACACCACTGTCCAGAGCAGGAAGATGAATGTCCACATAGATACAGCCGAATAAACGGGAACTTAACCAAACAGAAATATTAAAACTAGCCCAGACAGCAATACAGGCAACCTATCACTGCCTACTACAGTAATGCTTAGATAAAAGTACTCGGGTGTAGAAGCCTTAATTGAGGATAGTTATTGAAGAGTATTTTAAGACCATTCTTAAGTCCTCTAAACCAACTAAAATCAATGCAATAGCATGCCTTCATTTTCTAGATGCTTTTTGACTGTTAAGATAGCAAGAGCCCCAAATACATACCTAGCTTTAAGATTTGCTTTTCCTTAGCAAGGAAAAAAAAATCAGACTTGGTAAGTACTGGTCAGATCTCACCCTAAGCTCTGCTTAAGGCTTTCTGCCCATGTTCTCTGCTGTTAATGTTTACCCCTAATAGCTTACAGCCAGGCCTATTTGGTACTACTTACAACTGCAGGATAATTTTATGCTGTCTAAAGCAGAAGACAAACATAATCTCTTCTGATCAAATGAGAAGAAACATTCCTGCATTATCACTGAATGGCAGGGTTTGGAAAGGACCTCTGGAGATCATCTGTTCCAATCCCCTGCTAAAACAGGTTCACCTAGAGCAGGTTACACAGGAACACATTCATGTGGGATTTGAGTCTCCAGAGAAGGCGACTCCAGTGTCTCTCTGGGCAGCCTGTTCCAGTGCTCTGTCATCCCCACAGGACAAGAGTTTTTCCTGATGTTGAGGTGATTATGTACCTAGTGTTCTTTTCTTGGGTAATACGCAGCTTCTTATATAAAAGGCAGCGCTGGTATTTTACTTTTTCTAGAATTTGTCAACATTACACAGATGATGTTTCTCACTTCGGCATTATGATGCAGCAATACAGCAACAGCAATAATACAGAAAACCACCTTGGAACAAAGTGGTAGAAACAGACGTGCCATAAATACTAACAGAAGCAACCCTCAACATAATGTCTGGTGAGTGAAGTTTGGGTGGCAGGCTTACCAATAAAAATTCTGCTTTACCTTTCCACTGAATCAACACTGAAACAGAACAAATCCCTCTTGTAGTCGAGATGCTTTGGGGTGCACCTGTAGACACTGCCAAGTGTCTTTGAGCAGACAGAGCAAAATAATGTTTCTATCATGCTGTAAGAAAGATACGTAACATTTATTGAGGAGAAAATAAAAGGAAACAACTTTCTCCACCCCTATTCTTAAAAAATACATCCATTACGATTTTTTCAGAGCACTCATTCC